CAGTTCTGATTCCTCTTACACCTTTTTAACCATTTTATTTCTCATCAATTTCCTTATCTGTTATAAATTGTGACAGTGCTTTTTCTTGAATATGTGCATGGCATAAACTCTGTAAACCAATTTAGTAAGCCAGGTTAATGTGATCATGCCTGATTGCTCTTTAAATTACTATCTAAAGACTACTAAGGCCAAACAAGATTTCACTTTGATGTCAGCAGACAGAGGTGAGTATATGTTCAATGTACTGAACAAGCTCATTCTTATACATAGCATATCTTTCATATTCAAATCATCCAGAAATGAGTAACTGTGATGTCCTGCATCATGGGAGTCAATTAATACATTACTAGCAGCAGTCCCTGAAACAATTTTCCTCTCCTTGATGATGGCACTGTGCAAATGTTTAATGGAAATAATACATGGCTATCCCTAATAATGTTCCTTTAGTTTGGGAATGGAATCTGATAAATTACGAAAAACCCTTCTGACAACTTTAAATGAAATATTATTTTGATCATCTTACTAGAAATCTAGCAGAAATACAATTTTAAAAAGATAATTTTAATCAGGGTCAATTTATTAATAAATTTAACCTTTTTTTTCCTTCAAGAGGCAACAGCTTTCAAATTCACTGCATGTATTTATTTTCCTTTAATTTTATTTTTTCTTTCAAGTTTTTTTAAATTTTCTTTCAACTCAGTGCTTATGAATAATGCCAAAATGATAGCTGCTGCACTGTAAAATTTTTTGTCATTGCAGATTCTAAACAAGCAGTACAAAATTTCGTTTACAGACTGCCCTGTCACCCAGACACTCACCCAAGAGGGAAAATAACTGTAAAGACAGAGTATGTATTCACAAGTACAAGTTGATTTAAGCCTGATGGAAGGTGGTCAACATTAATTTCATTATCTTAGAAATTGTCCACTATAAAATGCATAAATGAATCCTATGCTTATATTTCAGATGCAGTGGATATATTATATGGTTTCAAAAAAGCACACTCTTCTGGTCACAGATATAGAGCTCTGCTTCCTCCAAATCAGCATGCTTTCTGCCTTGATATATGGGAAAACCTTTGAAGATGACGATGCTTTCTCAGGACTGAGTCAGATGAAAAATACCATATTGTTACATTACTCTGTACTGCCGTAGAGCAGTCGTGAGTATTAAATTTTTCAGCATCCTTTTCTTAACAAAAAATATCATGTAGGTTGCATGTGAGCAAGCATTAATGTGACAGAGGTTCAAAGAACAAACTGTTGTAAAATATAGGTTATTCATTGGAAAAAAAAAAATAAATCTGGTAAACTGAGATTCTGGGATTTTTATATTTTATTTCTGTGCTGGAAAGTGGAAGAGAAGTGGTCACTACATTGAAGAGGACTTTGCAGTCTTTTCCTATGCACCCAGTCTGCATCCAGTACAAGTTACCATATGCCTATTTCTGCAAACTTGAGGACGGACAGCAAAAAAACTCTTACTGGAAGCAATTGTGCAGGTGTACAACATGAGAAAGATGTGATGCATTTACACACTAGGAATGCAAAGACACATAAAAGGAAGATACTACATCCAGCACAACTAAAACCTTTGCTTATATTATCGATCACATTGTTTTCTTGACTTTTCAGATTATTTAGCTGCCTCTGCATGTCACTGTTGAAACCCAGCAATAAAGAAAGGTTACAGACATATTTGTGGTGTTCTGGTGGGGCTGCACTGCCTTCAGCTATCCTTGCATAAGGGCATTTAAAACTGCTACTTTGTTTGTGGGTATAAACTGTGCTGGGACTTGTTCTTGCTTGAGGACCTGATCTTTTGATCATTTCACTGAGACCTGAGCTTTTGCACAAAAAAAAAAAATTATTAACTTTTTTGGCTTCATCCACACATGCTGTTTTTGAATGGCCTCTGGATCTTCACACTACCAGGAACACAAGTAAAGCACCACAAAGTAAATGAGAAATGATTTTACTCTCAGAACCTTGTCCGTTTTCATAGCTCACATGGTAATGCTGTATTCTAATTTTACTTTTTAGACTGGATCTGCTTAATGATGTTGAGCAAAGGGGGCTATCTTCTGTTTATCAATCTGATGGATTTTTATTCCTCTCACGGATTACACGAGCAGATTCCCAAAATTTATTAATAATCACGTTAAATGCTTTTAATGTATAATCTTCAAACACTATTTCAAAATCACCACCTGTAAGCTAGACTAATCCCCATCGCTTTGTAAACTATATTTTGATTTGCAACCTGACATTTCTTGAGATATTTGTCTAAAAACAGATGTGGAAGGAATTACATGCACTGGCTGATAATAGAAGACATAATTGCTGTAAATCATTATTCTCTTACAGAAGGTTTGCAATGTTAGCTAGTCACCCTCCACTGTTTAGTGAAACTGTCAGCTGATTTAATACAAAAAATAAACTCCTACTTATAAATTACTGTGACATTATTAGTGCAGTAGTTCTATATAAGTAATATAAATGCCTATGCACAGGCGTCCTGATATCACGGCTAAAAGAAGATAAAACCCTTGTGATTTCAGGTCACATGAAATATCCTACACTTTATAACATACTTATTACCACTTTAAATATAGAACAGTATAGAACACTAGCATATATAAAACAAATTAAATTGAAAATTTATGCTTTTGGAATGAACATTTAATTTTGGTGAATCATTTATTTCTGCAGATTTAGTTCTGCAATCAATCCATAACTCAACTGTATTTAACATCTTGAAAATGTTATGTCTTTTTAAAAAATTGCATACGATCTAAAGATATTGATTGGTGACTGGTGGGTATATTTTTGTATGTTGACAATAGTTTGAATTTATATGAAGCTTTGGTTTTGTTATCTGGATTTAAAAGCACGATTTCTCTAAGGAATGTCTCTCAGCGTTATATCTTCATTGAGAGCTTTGTGGAAAATAAGGGGTAAACACAAAAATCTCTATCTTGGTTTTGTTTATTTTTTTGTTCTGCTTTTGTAAGAGATTCAGCAAAGATGACATATAAAGACTCGCAAGGTTTGTTGGGTTTTTCAGATATATTGAAGTAAATAGTTAATATAGATAAAACAAGTTGTGATAAACATCAAAATAAACATTGTTGAAAAAGGTCATTACCTAGAAGTAATTGCTCTGTTCTAGAAGCAGGTGTTTTAACATAAAAAAGGGGTTTGACTTTTTGACTTTCCTCATACTTGAAAAGTGTCCCACAATTTGTAACATTTCAAAAAAGTCTTAAGAGGTAAAAGTATTCCAGATAAATCTGTGATAAGTGTTACTCTTAATGAAAATGTCCTATTAGTTCTAAAGTTGCTTATAAACTTAGTGTCTGTGAAGCAAAAACAGGACAAAAGAAGACACTGATTCATCAGTACATTGATAATAGTCCATTTTGTCTAAAATTAACATTATTTTGGCAGTTTAGGACAGACCCTAAATAACTACCAAGAAAAACTTACACAAAGGAAAAAAAGACTAATGAAAATATAGTGGTGCAGCAGTAATATCTCTGTCTTTTGATGTTAAAGGCACAGCAATCCCATTGCCTGTGCTACAGCATCAAATGTGGTGAGAGTCCTTGTTGGAATCTTCAGCAAGGTGAGCAAAAGTATGTGTTAGAGAAAGTGTAACTTGTATCAACTGGATATCACAAATATGTTTTCCTTTTCATTATGTGGACCCCCTTTTCTTCAGACTTACAACAAGTAAGATTGTTAATACAAGTTAAAGTCAATACAAGTTTGTATTAGCTTTGTGACACAAACACACTGCTTTGCAAATTGCTCTGACCAATATATTTGAGGGCTTAAAAAAAAAGTCTTCACGTGCCATATCCAAGTACATTTTTGGCTGCTTCGCTAGATAAGCTAGTGTTTTATTTATACATGGTCAGAATACTTTCTGGAAGAGTAGGAGGAAGTATTAATTTTCTGTTGATTTATTTATATTTTTGGGGAAAAAAAAGAGATTTCTTGCTTGTACACTACACTACAAAAAAAAAGAAATTCACAATGGTATTAAAGGAAAAACTGAAGCATGATGACTCATTTTTACAGTAGGTGAATTTAAAAACTTACTGTCTCAGGAAGTGGCATTTGGGGACCCAGGAAACAATTTCCTGACTTGTTATTTTCACTGAGTAAGGTCCTTTACTTAAATTGAAAATTACACACATCATCCAATTATATACTCTGCTAAGATTTTCTTCAGGTTTCCTTTTCAGCTTTCCTATCTGAAAACTCTATTATTTAAATTCACTACCCCCACACCCCTCAATCAGTTTTCTGTCAGTTATTTATGCCCTCTTACAGAAACATTATAATGAGAGAGGGAATTGCAAAAATTCTCTGCAGGTATGATTGTGCATGTCTACACACAGTATAAAAGCTGTAGGGCAGGACTTGGAATTATGAAGCAATAAAGCATATTAGAAATACTTGAAAACAATCTGGACAATCAGAAATAAAAGTAAATGGTTAATCGACATAAGACAACAGACCAAAAAAGGCATATCTTCTTTAGCTGAAAAGTGACTTGGAATAACCATATCAATCATATCAATCACAGGAATGACTGCATTCTGGGGTTGAGATTTAAGGTTTATGTCTTATCTCTTGATAGCAAAACAATGTTTGTTGCTAAAAATCAAATATGTTACTACAGTAGTCTCAATTAAAATTAGTTGTTCAACAGACTTATATCAGAACTCTTTTTTTTTTTTGTTAGTTTGTTTTTATTGTTGTTTCTGTTGTTTTTGTTTAATTCCAAAAGCAAGAATGGGGAAATAAGACTAGCTTACAAAGACAGAAAGTATATAGTGACTACAGGAAAGGCTGGATGGTAAAAGCAATGAGCAGAAGGAACTACTGCCAGTTGAAGAAGATTTGTCCCACCAGAAACATAAGCATTTATAATCTATTATATTAATTGTCTATATAATTTGAACTTTTAAAGAAATAGTAAAAAATTACCTTTCCCACATACTGAGGTTCAGAGCCCATGTACTCCTCCAGCACAAAAAATTGATTCCACACCCAGCCTCGTTTGACTCGCTGGGCAGATGATCTCCTCCCTGGCACTGGGACAGCATCTTCTCTTGGCTGTGCTTCTAAAATCTCTTGTGGTTGTGTATGCAGTGGTGTTAGGAGACCTCCATCAAACAGGACCCAGAGAAGCAGGGATAAGCAGTTCCTTGTGAGCATTGGCAATGGCTTCCCTACCACAAGTAATAAAAACTCCAGCACTTAATGCAGAGCAGAGGAATCCAGGTTTGAGGTGTCTGTGGCCTTCACCACTTAGCTTCTGATTTTATTGCAGAAATGCTAATGCAGGCATTAATCCTTCTGATGACAAGGTATTTGCTGCAGTAAATTCCATCTATAGGGACCTATAAAAGAGATTTACATGCAACATCAAATTACATAGGATTACACTGAAGCGTTCATCAAAATTCTCACACCTAGTTAGTTCCTAGAGACAGAGAAAAAGATTAAGAATCACAGTTTAAAAAACATTGCTATTTTCATTGTAGCACTGAGCTGCTCTAGAACATAGAACAGTTATTACAGGAATACCTTGTCCTTGCTCTGCTCAGCATTACCTTTGTGTCTGCCTGAGAGAGGGCTGTAGCCTTTGTTTTAGGATCAGTTATCAAACAAAACTGTTTGCCACCAGTGATATCAAAAATGTTTTTTTGTAAATTTTCCAGATTTACAAACAAAATACTGGAGAATAGGAGATCCACTCTTTCACCCTACTGTCTAGAGAAGGAATCCTTTGCTCACTTTCTCTGTCAGAAAAGCCTCTTGAAGTCTTCTCTATAGTGTGCTGGTTGCCAGCTATAAAAAATAACTGCCTGTAGGACTTAAGATAGATCCATTTCACATTTTAAAAACAAAAATACAATTTATAGCACTATGGAATTCACCACTTTATTAGGGTCATATTGTGTCATTGATTTTTAAGCATAGGTTTCTAGGAAATCAATAGAGTTCTGCTTAAAAATCAATGACATGATATGGACCTAAAAAAAAAGAATAATAAAATACTTAACCATATATATTTTTCATTTTCAAATACTGCCAAAGGTTATATTTTCCTTATGAATAATATCATACCTATACATAAAAATAAATAACATAGAAATTCTTATGTCTTAGGTACATGTTGAAGTATTAACCAGAAAGGATTTATAACCAGGAACACAGAAAACTTAACAAGTCTTAAAAAAACCAAAAAACAAAAACAACCACCCTAGAAGAAAAACTGCATTTCTAACTGTGCTAAATTAAGGGTGAGATTTTCTGTTCTGATTTGAAAGGCTATGTTTTAGGTCTTAATATAAAAAAAAGTAATAAACCTGGTGAAAGGTATCTACTGACTGTTTTAATACTACCTTCAGCAAGGATAAAATATGAGAATAGAATTCCAATCTGCTCAGAATCCTTTAAGTAAAAGTTTTTCTAAGTTATGTTCAAAACGTTTCAATGCTTTTCATTTACAGCAAAATATTCTTTTGTGTAATGGGTGAAACCATCTTACTTGCACAATCATCTTCAGTCTATGGATTTTATTCCAGCAAAGACACTTTAAGACAGGACTCAACCACATCAGACATCTGCATTCACTATATTTGATATGAACTTGTTTTTTACTGAACAGTTCACATGTGTTTTTCTGCTTCTCTTTTTTGATGCATTCAGTGGTATATAACATCACATTCAGACTGTGTTCATCCATAATTCAGTTCCAAGATTTCCAAACTTTTTTACCTCTCCTGATCCATGGTTGCAGAGTGCATGCCTCGTTTTTATGGCAAAATCATAGTAATCATGAAACATAGCAAAAAAATAAAACAAAATCAACTCAACATGTCCTCTAGTATTGCCCATACCCAGGGAGGTGGAAACAAATATAAAAAAAGGGGTGGGATAGTCTGCACCACTTCAGAAATGCCAAAGTCATGTTGTAGTTAATTTAATTGCCGTACCACTTCTCTTGCTGAGAAAAGTCTGTACATTGCAGTTCTCCCAGTAGAGCTCTGCCTCCGGCCATGTCTGTCAGTCAGGGAGCTTTTAAAATGTTATACAGCACCAAAAGTAATGCAAAGAGATTGAAAGACTTCAATGAAAGGAGAGCAATTCCCCCTCGGCTGGAAGGTTAGTAACCAAGTGCAAGGCACAGAGCACTTTAACCCCTTCTCCATTGGTCTCCCAGACAGCCTCCCAGAATGCCTACTGCAGAGTCAGGAAAGAGCAATACCAGTGTTTTCTTCATTTCCTACAGCTTCAAAAAGATGATGAATGGGAAGGTCAGAGAAAAATGGGAGGCTAATGGATGTTGCAGTACAAGATTGTAGCAGAGATGCCCTCATCAGCTTCAAAAGAGTTCAACATGAAGAATTTCTTGTATTTTTTCTTTTTTTTTCTTTTTTATAATTTAAAGCTCAGTAAGGCAAATAATTGAGAATCTCACACTTTGGCACTTGAAAGAGTCACTCCAGCTTTCTGTTCTGTAGCATTTCTGCCATAGGAAACTGAGGCAGAAGGTTATCCCCCAGTAGCTTATTCCACATCATTTCATTGCTGGCTTTAGAGGAGGCTTGGTCCGATAGAATATATCTTATAGCACCATTGAAACTTGCACAGGAATATATAATATAATACATAATACATATATATTTCTTTTAGTCTGTGCTTATTGTTTTGCATTTTCTTTTTAAGCTATGGGTGTCAAAACCTGTCTTAGTGCTTTTCTACTTCAAATACTCATTGGTCCCTTATGTACCTCTGATCAGAAAACCACTAAGACAACTAGGAGAAAAGAATTTAGAAATCCAATCAGAACAATTAACCATAAGGAAGGTACTTTATTTCCTAAATTTTTAGGGTATTATATGCAGTGATGTTCATAAAGAAATACTTATCCAGTGAGATAGTTGTGAGCAGACATACACCCTCATTTCTTCTCTCTCCTACGTATTACAAAAGTACAGATGGTCAGATTTTTCTTAGATCTTGGGGTTTTTTCGATATTAGCTGTTGCTAATATTCATTTCTTCAAACTATCTTGTATGGATTTAAGTACAATTATGCATAATATAATTAACCCATAAAGAGAGCTTCAAAGAGATACCCTGCATGAATTCAGCCCCATACATGCTTTGATAACCTGAGATTACATTTATTCATTTCCCCAGCTTGATAAAGGGAAACAAATGAGCCACCAGCAATTACATCTTTTAATACACAATTATTAAGAAATCTTGATCATATTTACTGTGTCCCCCAAACTGCAGGCTTAGAAACTCATGAAATGCAAATGATGAATAAAATATCACTACTAAAATAATTTATTGGGAGTAACAAAATGCAGTATAAATGGTGCTCCTGCAAGAATTCTGATTCTGACCTGTACTATACTGCCATTAATCTAAAGAACCTGTGCAAAGAAATGCTTTTGGAATACAAAACTGATGCGTGCCTTTGCTGCTACAACAACCCTTAATCAATAGGAGTCATGGTACTGCAGACACAAATCACCTCACCAAGCTTGGCAAAGGTTATCCCTTGTAGAAAGAACAGACATAGATCCTCTGCAACCACTAGTATGCACATCAGGCCTCGTGCAGGGCAGTATTTGAAAAGGAACTCTAAATGATCTTTGATCTTGTCATGGCTTAATCCCAGACAACAACTCAGCCCCACCCAGCTGCTTGTTTACTCACACCAACTGGGATGAGGGAAGAATCAAAAAGATAAAAGTGAGGAAACTCATGGGTTGAATTAAAGACAGTTTAATGGATAAAGCAAAAACTCTAAATGCAAAGAAAGGAAAAATATAAGTTCATTTACTCCTTTCCCATTGGCAGGAAGATTTTCAGCCATCCTCAGGAAAACAGAGCTCCATAATACAGCGATGACTTGGAAAGACAAAGGCCATTACTCCCAACATTCCAACATCTCTTCTTATTCTCCCCAGCTCATGCTGACCATGACGCCGTATGGTCTGACATATTCCTTTAGTCAGCTTGGGTCAGCTGTCCTGGCTGTCTCCCATCCCAACTTCTTGTGTACCCACAGCCTCCTCACTGGTGAGGTGGGGTGAGGCAGAAAAGGCCCTGACTACATAAGCACTGCTCAGCAATAGCTAAAACACCCCCATGTTATCTACACTGTTTTCAGGAAAATTCAGAACACAGCCCCATATTGGCTACTATGAAGAAAATTCATTCTATCCTAGCCAAAACCAGAGTACATCTGTACGATGTATCTACTTGGATGAGGCCACAGATGCCCTATGGTCACATGCAGACAAGCAAGAAACACTAAAGCTCCATGGTGCACTCAAAACTGTCATCAGTGCAGCAAGGCTGGTAATCGAACCTCCATGAATGGAGGCAAATTGCTTACTGACAAAGTATCCATTTCTGCAGCCACCTTAACCATAAATCTATCAGCACAGAGAACGCTTTAGCTCATGTTAAATCAGAGCTAATGTAGAGCAACCATCTTCCTACATATAAAAAGGTTTGAAAAAGCTTGGTGGTACTGTAAGATGGTTGATCATGCCAGCTGGAGAGCCAGATAACATCTATAACTATGGATATGCTGTAAAAGCTGACCATGTAATCACGTTTCTCTGAAATATCTTGCAATAAGAAAATAAAACAACAGGAAAAACAAGTCCATGTTTTTGATATCTATTAAAATTAACCATTAAGTATTTCCGATTATATACCTTCTGGTTAAATAACAAGTGAAAGCATACGGTAAATCTTTCTCTGAGTTTAGACAAACCAGTTAGGTGGATATCCTCAAAGTTATTTAATTAAACAAATGCCATTGGATTAGGCTCTAAATGACCATATTTCTTTGTGAGTTTGACTTTCTTGAGCTTCACAATCTTTCTAGACACTTTGCAAATAAAAGTATTCTTCCTTTTCTCCTGTTTTTTTTAGTTAGGGTGGGAACTACTTGGCAATAACAAAAGAGGGGTTAGGACGGAGTTTACAAGTAAGTAGAATACAAGCCTCAAACTAGAAGAGAGTTTAATTCTCAGTCTGTCCATCCTACAAGACAGAAGAACTTTCAACAGATTAAGCAGGTCCCACCTCTGCAGCTACTAAAACCACTTGGCAAGAATAACATCTGGAATCCAGGCCAGGTAAGTGTCATGGGGAAAAGAAATAAATATCAGTGTTTCTACCTGCTGGAGTCTTAACATGATTCAAACTAGTTATCTATCTATCTATCTATCTATCTCCTTTTGTGTGAGATTCAATAAACTGTATAAACTGTCCTAGTTTAACATCTGTCAACAAACAAGTACCACACAGCTGCTCACTCATTCCCTCAGCCAGGAGGATGGAGGCAAGAGAACTGGAAGAATAAAAATGGGAAAACTTGTGGGTTCAGATAAGAACAGTTTAATAACTGAAATCTCATTAAAATATTATTAATATTAATAATAATAACATTGCTATGAAAAGTAAAATAACTGACTGGGAGAAATAAACCCCAGGAAATACAAATGAACATAATTGGGCACCACCAGTGAATTGATGCCCAGTCAGTCCCCAAGCAGCAGCTCTCAGCCTTCCCCCAATTAATTGCTGTGCATGACTCCAAATATAATGGAACGTTTCTTTGGTCATTTGGGATCAGCTGTTCTGGCTGTGTCCCCTCCCAGATTCTTGTGCATCCCCATTTGTGTGCTGGTGGGTAGGTGTGAGAAGCAGAAAAGGCCTTGACTCTGTGTTAAGCATAGATCAGTGATCAATAAAATATCCCTGTGTTATCAATGTTGTTTCCAGCACAAATCAAAAAACATTGCCCTATATCAGCAACTGTGAAGAGAATAAACTCTGTCCCAGCCAAAACCAGTACAGAAGCCTAGGCTGGCTCTCTGGCTGTTTAGAGTGAATCCTCACAGAGTTGGAAATCTGAATCTCAGTCCCATTACTTCAGAGGTTGTTTATATGAAGCTGCTGGCTATGAGGGGGAACAGAAACCAAACCACCTAAATTAAAACCCAAATATTCTGTAGATTAATGATGAGAGCATTGTGATTGAATGAGAGAAATATATGTTGAAAATACACATATGGAAGTTGAATCTTGATATTTCTGGAAGATATATGTCATCATGCGGACAAGAGCCGTACTCTGTAGACTAGTAAACAACAAACAGGTGGAAGCGTTTCCCCTGTAATAAAGAGACCTTAGCTCACTTTTGCTAAATTCTATTACAAAAGCCCCCAAATCCTACTATTTCACGTCAAATATTTTACTTGCTATAAAGTTACTAATAATTTGACTTGGCAAGAACAATATCAGTTTGATAAAGGCTATGATTTTTGGATTTGACTGCTAAAGCCACGTCCTCTCCCTATTTGATTGTTCTCTGCAGAGATGTACTTTGTATACTGGTTAAGAGATCAATTCTGATGTTAGTTGTGTCTACAGAGTAATATCATCTATGAATCTGGACTGCTCTATTGAGTTTTAACTGGCACAAAACCAAAGTGAGCTGAGAATGATGTCCCCCATCTTTGAGTGTGTTGTCCTTGTAAGCACATTCATAGGAAGGTTACCACAAAAATATATTACAGCACAAAAATTGTATGATACACTCTATCAATACACAGTAAACATATTTATGAACTGCCTAACATCAGAGAGGAGACTAATTATGTCTGGCATTTCTAAGCCTTACAATAATAAAATTATTATAGTTTCACAGATATGCTTTAATTATTGGCTTTCTAGCATATAAAAAAGTGATTACTTTAGGGAGTTTGGTAACATAACAAAATCAAATGCTACATACTTCCAAAAACAGTGTAGCTCTACAATTCTGAGGCTTACAGAAAAACTACAGAAGAAGAATAATGCAAAAAAATTCTGAGTACAAAATAATTAACTGGTTCTGTATGCAACTATTTATACATATTGTGTCAGCTTTGTCATCATTAGCAATATTTACAGGAGTTCATTTATGACAGAGCCATCATCCTCTGCCTGGGAAATTATCACTTCTAATTCACAAACATGCTTAAGAATATGAGGGCAATAATTGTTAAAAAAAAGAAAAAAAAAAACAAACCTGAAACTTTCATTATAAAATGTAAATACATCAGTAAATGCACAAGCCTCCATGGTTCATTGAACCCTTGAAAGTTAACTCAGGTAAAATGAAATTTCACTCCAGGTTAATAATTAATGTTTATTTTGCTGAGATTCAAGTTCAGGCCAGTACTACTATGTAAATACATAATGCAGCTCTACAGTTTAATCAGTTAAAAGAAAGAAACAAACTGTTTCCAAATAGAACAAAGTTTCCTTTACTAATATGGTCAGATGATGAAGTAGTGTCATTAATTTAATTTTTATTCTGTCTTGTGTCATGTTTGACTCAGAAAAGTCCTGTGTTGAATCTATACCTACTTTGTCAACGATCTAGAATCTTTATTTTTGACAAATTACAAACATTTTCATTTCTGCTAGGAATCTGTCAATATCAATGCTAAAGCATGGACAATCAGGAAGCAATCCTTCATTCTACTGTCCTTCTATGCTTTTTGAATAAATATATGAGATGTGGGAAAGGAAGGAAAGGCAAATAAATCAAAACACATTACCAATACATGTAAAGCAAGAATTGAGAAATCTGAGACTGCAGCTCAAATATATTTATAATTTTGCCTGCAACACAAGATACTGAAATGCATATGAGGATATTTTAAGGTGTTCTGCACATTCTTTTCTTAATTCTTCAGATATTTCGGTTTTACTGAACCTGTCAAGAATTCCATCAATTACTTCAAATTGCAAACATACTTTAGTTAAGATCTCATTATTAAAAGATTTTCTGCTATTGGCCAGACCCTGATTATAAGAAATTTGAAACAATTCATTATAGTTTCTGTTGTTAAAAGAACTCAAAAAATATACTAAATTACAAAACTAGCTCAAAGATAGAAATTTTGAAGTGAGTTCTTGCACGCATTTGTTTGTGTATTGTGTTATATAATATATATATATATATATAGATATAAAATGGTGCGATTTTTGCTTAATATCAACTTTCTGTATAACTTTAGACATTTAAAATTGAAAATATGGTTCTCCTTTTGCCAATTATTGCAACTTCAGTAAAGTAGATTTAAATGTCCCTGTCTCCATCAACATAGTATTAAAAAGTGTTTAATCCCCAATATTCCTTTCTGTAGTAGATTATGGAAATCCCTAGTCCAACTTTTAGACTTTCAGTCTTCTGAAAGGCTGAAAGATTTGTTCTAACACCACTGAATTATGTAACTTCAGAGGAATGATACCATCCTCAGGAAAACATGACAGACAGCCGTTGTGCCCTACAGGTTTCTAGCCATTAATCTTGTGAATTTTAGAAGGTAGTCCCAGAGACAAGAAGAGTGAGAGACATCAGTTTTCTGAACTGAGAATATCAACTCAGACCTCTCAATATTCTGGAGACACCTACTTTATCCTGGGCTTTCTCCAGTGCTCAATAAAAAGTAACTCTTATGCTTGGTAATTTATCTCTTCTCACAACTCATTTTGACTTGTTTTCACCCTACCTACATTTGCTGGTAGGACTATGACTCTTTTCTGATCATTGATGAACTAAAAACAAAACAAAACAAAACATATAAAAAACATCAGGAAAAGAAAACAACCCACAAACCTTCATGGATTTAAAAATATCACAAATAGTAATGCTAGGGCTTCTAGTTTGATTCTTTAAAAGTTTTCATTGCTTTGCCCAGCATTACTGCATAGGAGTATAAGGTCATTAGAGCTACTGAGGCATGCTCTACCGAGACTGGCAACAGCTATTCTAACTAGAGAGTGCAGCAATCTACAGATAACTTCAGCCAAAGTAATTCTCATTTGTATTTTGTTTATCAGAACTGGATGGGTTTCATGAGGACTCACCAAACGTCAAAGCTGTGTGTGAATAGCTGGGTGTCTCTCGTCAAGAAACCCTTCACTCAAGTAAAACCCTCTACTCGCCAGTCAGTGCAGAAGTGCTTGTGAACTAAGTCAGTGATTAAACTCAGAGATGCTAAAAGCAGCCAGGAGACATTTTGTGTACAGTTTCTAAAAAAAAATTAAATAATATTTGTGCCTCACTTTCATCGTTATAAATCCTCATTTCTCTTGTGTACTATTGTTCATTTCCCAAATTCAAGAGTAATGAATTGAGTAATTTTATAACAGATGTCTGCTGTGGTGCAGGAGGGAATAAAGGGCTCATTTCAGTGACACTACTGCCACTCTATCTGTCTTGTCTAGAGAAATAAATGCAAATCTAATTGGTGAAAATAATTTTCCTTTTAGATTCTTTCCTACCTTTCTAAATTTTAAATTAAAAGGACAAGAAAACAATGTCTTAGAAAAGAAACAGGTCTTGACATCTGTGTAACATTCACACACATAAGTTATTGGAGGCTTCTTCTCACTGATCCTTTTTTTTTCCCCCATTTGGAACACATGTAGATCTTTATTAACTTGTATGAATATATTTTCATAATGTCATTCACAAAAGTATCCACTATAATTTAATAAATTAAAGGCAGTGTTTCGTTGTTCATACATACAGACATAGCCAATCTCACACGTTCAGAGAAAACACAGGAAATAGACAAATTTAAATACGACGTACGAAATCTCATCAATTCTTGTAAGGTTACAATTTCAAATAGAAACCATTTCTTCTTACTCTGTTTCACCCTTAATGCCCTGCTTTGAATGGCTTCAATAATTAAATGAATATTAATTTTAAAAAAGCACATATTTTCAAAAACTATTGCAGTCAACATCCTAATTCATTAGAAAAGGCAGTGTTTACTTTTTCTTTTTTATTTGCAACTGAAGCAAGGTTTTTCCTTTATTTTTGTCTGAGCTCCTTCCATGCTAGGGTAAAAATGCAACTGTATAGTGGCTAGGTGGTTTATGATTTATGTAACTTACCTCAAGACATGCAATAAGCAGCTTGTTTATTACATATATTGCATATTTTATTTCTTTTATAATAAACATAAATTTGTCTAGTTATTTCAGTCTGCGAAAAAAAACTGTGGTTTAGATAGGAAATCGATAATGTCTTTTTAAGGTTAAGCTCAGTGAAATAGAGTGCTGAAATAATCCTGGTGAAATTGCACCTCAGCTGAACTCAGAAGGAACAGCATTATGGCAAGAGGATAATGTCATACCTGCAGTATTATAGATTGCAGCCAATCAATCAGACATATTGTAATAGCTAAGGGCACTGTCCTGTTGTACTAAAAAAATACCTTCAGGTCTCAAGATAGAAAGACTGACACATTTAGTCCGAAGCAACCTAAATCAAATATTTCCCTAAGATTAGTGAATTAACCTTACTGGAGGACATAGCCCAGAGACACACATTTTGTACTGGTATAAATGGAGTACTGGGCCAAAGACTAAGCTGGAAGGAAGGCTAATAATTTGGTGGAAATAAACATGTGTTTATTTCTCCATGCAACCTCTGATCTGTGGTGAAGTGTGAATCACTGTGTGGTTTCTTTAATTACAGAGTCATAGAAACACAGAAAAGTTGAGGCTGGATGAGACTTCTGGAGTTCATCTGGTCCAAACCCCCAGCTCAGTCAGGGTCAGCTACAAGAAGCAGCTATAGCTACATGGACAAAATAGGTTTTTTTCTACAGATGGACACGACACAACTCCTCTGGGTGACCTCTTTCAATGGCCTGGACATTCTGTGAGTTTTTGATCCTACTCACTGTCCACTTAACTTCACCAATTTCTCCATGAGTTTATTTTGCAGCCAAACTGAAAACCTGTTTTAAAGCCAAGGTAAATTACATTCACTACACTTCCCTCATCCGTCAAGCCAGTTGCCTCATTATAGAAAGCTAGCAGTTTGGTTAAGCATGATTTCTGCTTTGTAAACCCACACTGACCTCACTCAGGCACCTTCTTGTCCTTCATGTATTTGGAAATGGTTTCCAGCCTTCCGTGGCTTTATTATTTTCCTGAGGACTTAAGGGAGGTCTATGCCTCAGACCCATGGGTTTGTGTATGTACTGATAGCTGAAGTGCTCCCATCCCGGTCCTTCATCACTGAGAGAAAATCTTCTTTGGGCTATACGTTAGCAGCAGGTACTTCATGTTTTCCTGGAATTTCAAAACCTCACCCACATGCACTATGACCAAGTCTCTTCATGAAGATAGCTTTTGTCATTTACACTGAGACAGTAAGTGAGCCAAAATAAACTGCCTTATTTTTCAAAACCTCTTCACTTCCCTCTAGGAAAGGATTCTTTGAAAGCCCCAAGCACTTTTAGAGAAGATTATTGTTCATTTTTTAATTAAATTCCCAATTTCTTCCTCATAAATTAATTAGTCTCTATTTAGTATTATCAGTTACTACCTTTGTTAACATGGAAGCCCAAAATATAGGTCTATATTCTGTGTTCCTAAATGAAGTATTTTGTTTTTTCAGAAAAAAGATAGGCTTCAAATGCCTGGTGAAACCCTAAGAATGCTTTCAAGAAACAAGTTATACTCTGTACTCTAAAGAATTGCAAGAAAAGAGCAATACACATGCAGATACTCAACACATTAAATACACTGAATAACAGCTATTTGAAAGACAACATTTTAATGGACAAAAAGAAGAGCTCACTTATGACATCTAAAATATTTATATGGATTTTTTTCCCCATAAAAATCTAAATTTTAATGGTTGGGGGTCACACCTTATCATAAACAATGAACAAACTTTTTGGTTTTTAATGAACAAATCTTGTTTAGTGACAGAACTGTTACCTGGAAAATTTTCATGTCTAAGTAGAGAGAAATTAGTTTGCACAGTGAGCTTTGAAAAATATATCTTTAAATTAATTTGCTTACATCTCTAAGACTTCACAAGTTTACTAAGCTTTCTATATGTCTCTATCAGAACTTGTAAAATTATTTCTTATCATTT